TTGCTTCCCTGTAGCTCAGATTGGCCTGGTGTCTCCACCCTGACTAATGAGACAGGAGGGGAAGTCTGCCGGTGGCTCCACATTTCAGAACTTTCAGTCTTGAACACAGTTATGTGAAAATGCCAAGCAGAATTCTGGAGGCAGAATTACAGATTCTAACCTTGAGTGGAAAACAAAAGCAAAAGCATAGACCTTTTCAGGCACCCAGTTTCAGGTACCTGCATTCAATGCTATCCTAAGGTTTATGAAATTATTAGGTTTTCTATTACTTGCAGCCAAAAAATGAATATACATAAGAACATTTACATTTTCTTTCAGATACTTATTTTCCAAATACTAGCTAAGTAAGTTGAACTAAGAGCCAATACTTTTGATTATCTTACCCAATGGAGCGGAGTGGTCAGGAGATCAACAGAAGATTCCTCATCATGTTCCCCTCAAGAGCATTTAGTTCATTTTTAGTTCATTTTTCACAAGTTTGGTTCTAACAATCCTTGGGAGCCATGGGACTGATTAGGTAGGGAAATCTTTATTACGATCATTCAAAAAAATGTATATTGATTTGATTTCATAAAAGCCTTCTGCTTCTGCCGGAGGTACAGAGCACACGCTTAGGACGGGCTGCCATTTGATGTGCTTCGTTTGTGATGCTGGTTATTGGGGCTGAGGAGGTGGGACCAAGAACTTTAGAGAGAGGATGGGGGAGGGCGGAGAAGCTGCAGCAACTGGAAGCCATTTCAGAAGGAGGGTTTAAGTGTTTGCAGATGGTTAGCCTGGAGAAGACTTGGAAAACGTGAGAACGCCTAGGTAAATTCTTATGGGTTTAAGGATTAGACATCCATTTGATTTGTTTCAGGTAATGCAAGAATTTTTAGAAGGATATACGTGAAAATAAAGAAGGCAAGAATCTCGATGACCCTGCCAGGCAGAGGCTAGCTTATGGGAGGTTAGCTTACCACTTGGCAAGGAAATTGTAGCTTAGAATAGATGATGGAACATTCAAGACCAGCTCCAACCCTGAGACTCTATGATCCTGGGGTTACATCTGCTAAACTGGTCAATGTAGAAGTCATTCTGGGACTGGAGGAGATTCACATGTCTATGATGGCCTTGAGGAGTTTTGAGCCTCAAGAAACTTACAATAGTTAGGCTCTGAATCTTCTCTGAGGCAGATATTTGACAAGCAGTAGGCTTTAGGGGGTTATTTGTATCCCAAAGGGACCCTAAAAACGTTTAAACCCAATTCGTCACTAGGGTTGGTTTAAAAGAGTAGCAAGTGCTTGATGGTGAGGAGAAGGCTTAAGTTTCTCAGCTCTTGTCACTGTTTTGAATTGAGGCATTGAAGTTCTCACATTAAAAATGTGTCTGAATGGAATATTACTCAGCCATAAAAAAGAAAGAAATAATGCCATTTGCAGCAACATGGATGGACGCAGAGATTATCATACTAAGCGAAGTAAGTCAAAGACAAATATCATATGATGTCACTTATATGTGGAATCTAAAATAAGAATCAAATCAACTTATTTAAAAAACAGAAACAGACTCACAGACATAGAGAACAGACTTATGGTTACCAAAGGGGAAAAGCGGGGGAGAGGGATAAATTAGGAGTTTGGGATTATCAGATACAAACTACTATATATAAAATAAACTACAGGGGAACTATATTCAATATCTTGTAATAAACCATAATGGAAAAGAACGTGAAAAGCTATATGCATATAGATGCATAACTGAATCACTTTGCTCTAAACCAGGAACTAACACAGCACTGTAACTTAACTATACTTCAATAAAAAAGTGTGTATGGGGCTTCCCTGGTGGCGCAGTGGTTGAGAGTCCGCCTGCCGATGCAGGGGACACGGGTTCGTCCCCCAGTCTGGGAAGATCCCACATGCCGCGGAGCGGCTGGGCCCGTGAGCCATGGCCGCTGAGCCTGCGCGTCTGGAGCCTGTGCTCCGCAACGGGAAAGGCCACAACAGTGAGAGGCCCGCGTACTGCAAAAAAAAAAAAAAAGTGTGTGTGTGTGATAACACACCTCATCACATAGTAATTTATCAAATGAATCAGGCAGTAACCTAAAAACAAGGGACAGATAATTTCAGGAATGGCAACTGGAGAGTAGCTGTAGGAGTAACTTGTTACCTTAATGTTCAGTAATTTTGGGGGTCTTTTCCTCTGGGGCAGTTGTTTGGGGGAAGGAAAAGAAGCAGGGAAGGAATGGAAGCAAGGAGAGAGAACATCTAATTGGACACCTGCTCTGGGACAGGTCTGGGCACTTTCTGAGGCTTCCTACAGTAAGCAGCTGAGGCCATCTCTCATCTACCTGGGCGATGAATGAGTGATGGCCCATCTTCAAAGCCAGCTGTAGTCCTCTGAAATCACTGTACTTGTGGCATTAACATGAACTATTTCACAGGAAAGGAGGGGAAATGCGACCTGTGTTGATTTCTGTTCATTCTTTGCATTAGATCAAACTAAAGCTTCAGTCTTAACCTAGCGTGGGAGTCTCCTTGGCCGCGGCCTGGCTGACCCACGCAAAGGTACAGATATTTGAATTCACCGATGCTGTTTGGGAGTTACTGCAAGTGTAATAATGACACGTTGTTCAGTTCTTAGCACTTTGTGAGGACCTGTCTCGAGATGGATTTTACTTCAAAATTATGAGGCAAAAGGTTGAGATTAAGGTTTAAAGAAAATAACCTTTGGAATTCAGCCTCCAGTGGGGGCACTGGCAAGCAAACTGTGTTCAGTATTCTTTTCAGAAGTGTCCTGAAGGTAGCCGGGCTCCTAGAGACCAGGGCTTGCCAGGTGGGGCTAAAGAAAAAGAAAAATCCGTTCACGGGAAAGCGTGCAAATAGAAGAAGAGAAGAAAAACCTGGAAAAGGCAACTCAATTCACTGGCATGCTTGTCCTTTCCTCAGCCACTGGGTCAGCCTCGCCCCTGCCCTCTACTCTCAGGGGGCCCCTTCCTCACCCCAGGACAGGCTAACCGGGTACAGAACTGCCCGAGGAGCTGGTGTTTGTCTGGGGACACTTGGCTGGGGAGAGTTTTACCTGAGCCAACTGCAAGACCCCAGTTCTCTGCTCACTTAAATTCCACATTGTGGAGGACGTTCTGGTACCCCGGGCCCCAACATCCATCCCACCCCCTCACCATCGCGTAGCCAGCATGGACGGATGGATGAGCCCTGGCTGGTCCATGCGAACAGGCCAATCCCATTTCCCTGGATCTGGTGATTGGTTCAAGGGTCGTCTGAGAAGGATGGGCACAATACGTTCTTTGCCTGTCTGCGAAGGCAGAAGTATTAGACCCAATTGCTGCTTACAGCATCTTGAAATCTCTTGAGGGAAGTCACTCTGCACATAAGCTGACACAGGCAAGAAGGCAGATGCGTGAGGATAACAACAAATGGCCTGAGCCAGGCCCTGAGTGAGCCGTGCCTGAGGCTGACTACCTTCACGCCTTTCCCATCAGCATCCTTTCCCATCAGCGCCTTTCCCATCAGCATCCTACCTTCACGCCTTTCCCATCAGCATCCTTTCCCATCAGCGCCTTTCCCATCAGCATCCTAAATCAGCATCACGCCTTTCCCATCAGCATCCACACAGCCTTAGAGACTAAGCACCTGGAGAAACACAAGTGTCACTGGCTGCTATGTGATAGGTGTTATGTGGGGGGGGGGGGGAGTGTTCCGTGGCCAAAAACGTTTGCAAAATATTGAATTACACAAAATGCAGCCACTGTAAGCCATTTATAAACAAATGCATTTTATAAATGTCCAGGAAGGAACTATTATATTAAGCAGATTCAACTCAGAACCAAATGGATTATTTGTTTCTGTTTTCATTTGTTTTCTGAGAACACATTAGCATTTCGAGAAACACAGTTTGGGAAGCTTTGCTGAGTCATTGTCAGGTATTTACACTCTAGGAAGTAGCAAAAGAGAGAAGACAGTAGGTACTGGACTTGGAATGTAAGAGAGAGAAGCCAGGACAAGAAGCAGAACTGCTGCTTCCTTCCCAGACCCACCCAAGAGCTCCCGGAACTGAGGGGACTTGCTTAGAGGGTGACGTGCCATGCTGGCTGTGTACCATCGTCACCTCTGGGCTTTCTAGGACCAACCCCCCACCTCCTACCCATATTCTAATTCAGCAGGCCTGCAGGGTCCCAGAAAAATTATATACATGTACATATGTAAGATAGATATAAATAGATAGATGTCTATCTATATCTTATATAAGAACAGATATGGGTACAGATATTTGTTTTATGGCAATATTGAACCTTTGGGCCTCTCACTGTTGTGGCCTCTCCTGTTGCAGAGCACAGGCTCCAGACGCGCAGGCTCAGCGGCCATGGCTCACGGGCCCAGCCGCTCCGCGGCATGTGGGATCTTCCCGGACCAGGGCACGAACCTGTGTCCCCTGCATCGGCAGACAAACTCTCAACCACTGCGCCACCAGGGAAGCCCGAACCTTCTCACTTTAAGAGAAATGGTAAGTAACCTAATGTCTCTTGCTTTAAGATACTCTTTAATGTTTCTTTCTCTTTCTCTTTTTTTTTACTTTTTATTTTGAAATAATTTTAGACACAGAAAAGTTGAAAGAATAATAAAAAGAACTGCCATATACCTTTTACCCAAAGTCCTTAATTCCTAACATTTTGATACTTTCGCTTTATTATTATCTATCTATGTATCTATCTTTATCTATCTGTCTAGCTAGCTAGCTAGCTATTTTCCTGAAATAATTGAAAGTTGCAGACGTGATGCCCCAGTTTCACTGGAAGTGTCAATGTGAACTTCCTAAAAGACAAGGACATTCTCCCACATAATAACCACAATTCAGCCATCAAGGGCAGGAAGTTGACAGTTATACAGTACTACCATGTAATCCATTCACACCATTCACATTTCACTTATTATTCTAATACATACTGCATCCCACTTTTTTTTCTAATACATACTGCATCCCAATTTTTTTTCTTCTATTTCTGGTTGCAGTCCAGGATAATGTGTCCCCTTCACTTTGGATGTCTCTTTCATCTTCTTCAATCTGAAATAATTCTTCAATCTGTCCTTGTCTTTTATGACCTCTATATTTTTGAAGATTTCACACCAGTTGTCTTGTAGAATCTCCCTCAATTTGGGTTTCTATTATGTTTCCTTATGATCAGTACTATTTGCATTTTGCCAGGAATAGCATGGAAGTGAGGCTGTGTTTCTCTTAGTGTCTCACACCAAGGGACATATAGTGTCAATCCATCCCATTATTGGCGATGCTTATTTTGATTTCTGGTCATTTTCAGGCAGGTGTATTTAAAATAATAAACCTGAGGTCAAATGCTACCATTGCAACTATGAGGGTTGCCTTTGTTCCAGTCCTGCACAAGAAGATAAGAAAAGAATACAGAATGAAAGGAAAAGCACAAGAAAGTATATTTACTAAGGACAACCAGATTTTCTTAGTTTAATCATTTCCTTGATTATGAATGAGAAGAAAAACCTGGTTTTTCTCTTTCTCTTGTCTAACAGAAAAGTGTGTGTTATGGTTGGCACATTCAGGAAGTATCAAGTTTGCTGTTAAACAGATTATAAAACATGTTTATGCAATAGCAAACCATGAGATTATTCTAGGTCATGTTTCTATTGCTTACTCAGTCATCTATTTGCATGAATCAATTTTAACCTCCAAAGTTATCCAGTGTAATCCAAACATTAATAGTGCGTAAGTCGCAAATGGTTCAGAGAAATGCCAATTTGGGGCTGGAAATTCCAATTGTGGAGCAGCTGTTTCAAATGTAAGTGGCGCATTGCGGAAACAAGGCAGATGGACTTCTAAAGGACATCCAGAGTCCCCTGGGGGTCGGGGCTGCACCAGAATCCCTAGATAGCAGGGGCTTGGAGCAGCAATCTGGTTAAAAGAGGGATGGCTAAGGGTTGTCTTCAAGGTACAGGCAGCACAATTTTTAAAACTTAGATTACGTACAACAGATTAATGAAAGTATTATTCTCTAAATAGGCTTCTATACCCACCTCATATACTACTGAGACAATGTCCCTTATACATATCAAGTAATATGATTATTTTTATTTGTAACAAATGGCTTAAACCAATCTGGCCAAAGGATGATCATGAGGCTCTTCCTGAGAATTTCAGCAGTTTCTTGTAACAGGCTAGTGGGCATTACTTGATCCAAACCAGCTAGTGTGTCACAATTCAAGCAAGTCTTGGGCAAAATGGCTGGACATATGTACACATATTAGCAAGCAGGCAGGTGTGACTCATAGCTTTGGACACCTCCCTCTCTGTTGCTGTGGATATCAACCAGCATCTTACAGACGTGGTCTGAAGGAGACTTGCTGACATACAGCAGGATTATACAGGCGACATTTGAGTCAGATCAAGCAAGAGGGTCCTGAATGATGTGGAGGGACCCAAGGCAAAGAGGCCCAGGACCTCCTGAGAGTCACCAAAAAATCGAAAGGTGCCACACAGCACAGATACATTGAGCAAGTTCTTGTGTTGTTGCTTTCTCATGACAAGTTTCTCATTCTGCTTATTATGGAAAAATAAGAAAATATAGTCGACAAAAAGTGTCGGCAATCCATGATCCAATTTGGCATGGATTACCAATTTCACACATGTAGATACATATAGATAGATATCTACAAATAAACATATAAGTTTTACAAACATGGGAACTTTGTTTTTCTTCTCAATGTATAGTCAATAGCTTTCAATATCAATGCCTATGTTTGAAAGTCAGCACTGCTTAATAAGCTGGTTAACTATAACAGATCTGCTACTGCGAGGCTCTTAGATTGTTTCTAACTTCTTGCTCTTACAAATAATCCTGCCAGAGAACATCCTGGCAAAGTTTTTTAATTATTTCCTTAAGAAAAATTCTTGGAAGTGATGTTGCCAAGTGAAAGTTCATGCATAGTTAAGTTTTCTTTCTTTCCTTATTTCCTTGTCCTTAAGTAATATGTGTTCATCTTCTTAACACTTGCTTCCTATTTCAGGGAGAAAATAGATGTCACCAGAAGATCATTTCCACTATCCCCAGCACCACTTCTACCATCTTCCAGCCTCTGTTGCCATGAGCTCTGCCTTCCCTCCTCTTCCCTTTGGGCACTGGATGCCAGCCCCCCTGCCTATCCATGGACACTGTTCCAGCAAGTCTCTTTTCTCTTTCCATCACCATCAATGTTTCCTCTCTTTCCTGTGGATCATTCTCAACAGCATAAAACAACTCTTATTTTTCCCATCTCTGAAATAAACAGAACCCTTCTCTTGGCCCCATTTCCACTTCTAACTGTAGCTCTATTTCTCTTCTCCCCTTTGCAACAAATTCCTCAAAGAGTTGTCTTCATTCCCTGGTTCCAATTCCTCCCATTCTTTCTTTAACCCACTTCAATAAGGCCTTCATGTGCACACTCCACCGAAACTATTCTTGTCCAGGTCACCCATGACCTCCAAGTTGCTGTAGCCAATGGAGAACTTTTCGTCTCATCTTACCTAACCAATCCACAGCAGTTGACACTGATCATGAATCCCTCTTCCTTGAATGAGTTTTTTTTCATGAGCCTGCAGAGCACCATGAGCTCCTGGTTGTCCTTCTCCTTCACTGGATCCTTCTCAGCATCCCTTTCTGGCTCCTCCTCATCTCCATGCACTTAACTCTAGAGGGTTCCAGAGTGTGGACACTTCTTTTCTGTTTACAGGCAGTCTTTTGGTGATCTCATTCAGTCCCTGGGAGTTAACAAACTCCCAGATGTAACTCTCCAGCCTAGGCTCCTTCTCTCACCTGCGCTCCACCCCCAACTCCAGATCCAACCGCTCCTTGACGTTGCAAATATAATACATCCAAGACTGAAACCCTGGCCTTCCCCCTTCCCAACTGCTCCTTCTACAGATGTCCCTATCTCAGTCAACAGCAGCTCTAACTAGGGCCATAAACCTTGGAATCTTCCTTGATCTCTCTTGGTCCCTCACACTATCCATCCAAACCTTCAGCAAATCTTGTTGGTCACACTTTCAGAATATATCTAGTACCACACCATTTGTCACCACCATTCTGGTCTGAACCACCGGAACATCTTGCCTGGACTGTTGAAATAGCCTCATGACTGATCTTCTTGCTTCCACCTTGCTCCCCTAGAAACACACAGAGGGGTACCATTGAAGAACGTGCCAGGTCATATAACATTTCTGCTCAAAATCAGACAACGGCTTTCCATCTCACTCAGGGTATAAGCAAAGCTCTTGTAAAGACCTTAGAGTCTCATATAATCCGTCTCATTGCCTTTCTAAACTCAGATCCTGTTACCTTCCCTCCTCTTGCTTGCTCCGTCCTCCGCTTCAGGGCCTTTGCAAATGTTGTTCTGCATGGAAAGCTTTTCTGTGTAGACACCTGAAAGGCTTACTGCCTCACCTCCTCTCCGTTTTTGCCTAAATATCACCTTTCTCTGAGCCTTTCTTGACGCTTATTTAAAAATCACAGTCCTCCCACCCCATTACTCCTGATATGCTTCTCCACTTCATTTTTCTCCACATCACTACATACTTTATTTATTTCCTTTGTGCCTAGATCCCCCCATTAGAATCGAAGCACCATGAGATGTCCTGCACCTGGAAACCCCCCAACAAGTAACAGGTGCTCAACACATGTCTGTTGAGTGAATAAATCTTTCAAAAAAATTAGAAAAGTAAAAGGAGAGAGTTAGAAAAAAATCACCCATATATAAAAAGGACATTTTATTCAGCCGTGAGAAAGAAAGCAATCCTGCCATTTACGATAACGTGGATGAAACTTGAGGACATTAATCTAAGCGAAATAAGCCAAAGAAAAACAAATACTGTATGATCTCACTTAAAAGTAGAAACTAAAAAAGATGATGAAAAAAAGAGTAGAATGGTAGTTACCAGGGGCTGGGGGTGGTAGATATGGAGAGAGGTTGGTTAAAGTGCAAATTTCCAGTGATCAGTTCTTAGGATCTCATGTACAGCATGGTGATTATAGCTGATAACGCTGTACTATATACTCGAAAGTTGCGAAGACAGTAGATCTTAAATGTTCTCACCCCAAAAAAGAAATGGTAATTATATAATGAGATGGAGGTGTTAGCTAAAGTCATGATGGTAATCATTCTGTAATATATAATTATCGAATCAACACACTGTACACCTTAAACTTACACAATGTTATATGTCAGGCAATTATATCTTAGTAAAGCTGAAAAAAAAATCACCCATAATCACGCTCTCCAGAGAACCATTGTCTACACGCAATTAAACTCACAGTCTTTTTCATGGATTCATATGTATTTTTGGTGGGGTCACTCTGTACATAGTTTTAACACCTGCTTTAAAATTTTTGACATGCGCATAATTTAGACTTTGAACACATACCCCTACATAGCCTTTCAGAAATACCAAGTTATACACTGCTGGGAGTTTATGATGGTCCATTTCTGCATCTTCTCCCCTGAAACTTGCTCTTATCGGATTTGTCTTGTATATAAGCCAACCAACATAATAAGTGTGCCTCTGATCTTGAAATCTTTCTTAGCCGACTTTACTTTCAGCGGCTTCCCAGATTCCTGTCACCTTCATCACTTCTCACTGTGCACACACACCTCCTTCTTCCCTAATAATTTCAGGGATTCCAGAGAATGAAAAGTGCACACTCTCGATGGAGAAAATTTCCAGAATTTCAGAATCTAGCTTATTAAAACTCAGAAAGCCTGATAGTTTGAATTAGGATGGCCAAATGTGGACTCGTGATGTTTTGACGACTCTCGTAAACTATTGCTGCCCTGTACAGTCAACAGTGTGTGCCATTGACACCGACTACAATGAAAAGTCACCCCCTGGGAGTTCTGCAATGTGGCAGCCCCCCAAAAGGTCTGACTAGATTACACTCAATTCAGTTTTAAGGAATCACTTCTGAGATGCTTTCTTTCTCTGGCTCTGCCCTTCCCCCTCACGATCTATTGAGCATTTGTCTAAGAAAAGCACACTTTCTATGGTGATAGTCAAAATTTTTAAATTATCTTTTTGACCCTTTCTCTGGTGGACAAGGAAAGGGATGCAAGCCATTTGGTCCAGTAAAATAACCAGACGTGTCTGCCAAATGAGTGTGCTAACAGGTCTCTCCAGCGGGGAGCTTGGGAGGAAAGCAAACAGCTGAGCTTTGAAACCCATTACATCTCTGGTGGGTCAATCAGCCTCTGGCCTCTTCGGACCCTGATGCCTTGCCTGCTTCATCTATTTACTCTGTCCCTCAACCCCTAACTCAAGCCCCACGTTGCATGTGATGGGTCTTATGTGTGTGAATCTATTCTTTTCTCATTGCTGTAGGAACTTTTCAGACACTTTCTAGACCTAAGAATCCCTTTCTACCAAACCAGCAATCCAACAAACACTTATCCAAAATGTTAGCAAACAAAATAGATCAAGGCAGAGCTGCTCTGGCCGAAAAGGTTCTACTTCTCCCCTGATGGGGCTCTTTTGAACCTCTAGGTCTCTTGGAAGCAGAATCTGAAAACCTGGCACCTCTGCTGGAACTCACGCACAAAGGATCCTCTTTCGTCCCATCCCCATGCAGCCTCCATTAGATTCCCCCGGACATCAGAGTGAGGCCCTTGCTTAAGGTGCAAAATTTTAGAGGGGAGCACCGAAAAAACTCAGTAATCAAGATAAAGAGTATTTTAATATGATATTTTAAACAATCAAAATTAATGCAAAGAATCCACAATGAACAAAATATTAACGTTAAAGTTAAAGACATGATGAGCAATGGTGCCCTGCTGAGCCACGCTGAAGCCCGAAACAAAAGGAAAAATGAGTCATACTGAACTCCATCCTGATAATACTCTTGATCTTGATGACTAAGTCTCTGGTGTCCCTTTAAATCCTGAGCCCAAAGTGAGTGCCTCACTCGCCTCACCTGCCTCTCCTGGTACCCTTGACATCCATCACTCCACGTTGTCCTATAACTGGCTATTTCTCTTGTCTCTCATCCCTTCTTAGACTATACCCTCCCTGAGTATATAAGGACCATGTCATACTAGTCAGTATCTCCAATACATTAAGCTCATAGAAGGCATTTAATAAACATTTTTTGAATAAATGAATTGGACTATAACTAGGGGCTATGGGTTTTTCCATCTGGCTCAACCTCTAACAAGCCCTGTGATTGTGGGCAAATGATAACTTCTCTGGTTTCAGCTTACTCATCTGTAAAATGAAAGACCTGGTCATCTCAACTGTCTTTCTGTATCTGTCTATAGAAATCATCCATCTGTAGAAGCCCAGGTCTCCCCAAACATTCCCTGCCTCTTAGTTGACGGTATCAATAAGGCAGCTGCAAGCGTGCTGGTATTTTGCGATAGAGTACAGCACTGTATTCAGTAAAGCTATGGAGTTATCTGTAAAATGTCCTCTTGGCCAGACAATTGCTTTAAACTTACATGCTGCTGGGACTGTATTTTTAAACCATGTAGAGGGTAATTTCTCCAGTAATGCCATCCTTGTTGGGAAATATAGGCATTGTCCTTTAATTAGACCAACATACTTGAAGAAATACCTTCCTCCTTCAGTTCCATTCCTGTCAGTCTGTTGTCTTTAAATCTGGGGAAAGCCACAGAAGTATTTAAAAGCATTTTATGCTTTCCCATCATCCTTTGTATGTGATTGAGAGAGAAGAAAAGAAAGATAAGAATGAAGCAGTTCATTGCAGGTATAGAAATATGTATCCACGGAGCACTTACTGTCCATCTACTACGTACAGTCTTCTGTGGGAAGCACCTCAGACAAGGTTCTTGTCCTCAGCGAGTTTTCAGACCCTTCCAGGAGAGAAAACATGAACACAGAAGCACCCCGAGTTAGTTAGATGATCAACTACCATGAAGGTAAGAACACAGGAGTCAGAATAGTAGGAGAAAAGGAGGACGCAAATCACCTTTAGCTGTCTAGTGTGTGAGGACTTAGAAATTTTATCTTGTGCAATCTTTATAACTGTCTTTTTTTTCCTTTTTTTAAAATTAACTTTTCTTGGTGTATAATTGATTTACAATGTTATGTTAGTTTCTGCTGTGCAGCAAAGTGAATCCATTATACATATACATATATCCACTCTTTTCTAGATCCTTTTCCCATATAGGTCATTACAGAGTATTGATAGAGTTCCCTGTGCTATACAGTAGGTTCTTATTAGCATAACTCTCTTTTTGAGTTAAGTCTTACTATCTCTAATACACTAATAAGGACACTAGGCTTAGAGCAAAAGCCAATCAGGAAGCATAATTTGCTTTCCGAAAGTGTTCACGTACAAGTTCTTCTAATTGTTTGAAATGCATTACTTGACCTGGATCTGTGAGGTTTAACCAGATGAGGAATATTGCTTACCTCTTCCCCTCAGTGATGCAGGCCTTGGTTTAGAAGCGGCTTTTATTTAACCATCTCATCCATGGAGTGTTTGCTTATTAGGATATTACCAAGGTTTGGAAACTCTCGTTGGGGAATTTAAAACAGGCCCTTAGTTTCATTTTCACACTAAATATGATTTAGGCCTTGTTACTGGGCCATCAGACACAGAGGTTCCCATATGTTATTTGGTAGCTCCAAAAGCTCTGGGTTCAGTGGCCAAAATTCCCCACCTGGCTCCATACTCCAGGATTTTTCTTTCTTCTTTCCAGGGGCAAGCTAGATGCTGGCCGTTTCCATGAAGGAGGGCTGGTGGGGGGCGGGGGGAGTTGCCTCCCCTCTGTCATTCTAAAGCCCAGACCTTGAAACAACAGCTTTGAGACAGCAAAGCCTGTAAAACTTGTGTGTTTTGCTTTTTTCTTTTCTTTCTTTCTTTCCCTTGCTTCCTTCCTTCCCTTTTTCCTCCCTCCCTCTCTCCCCCTCCCTCCCTATCTCCCTCCCTCTCTCCCTTCCTCTCTCTCTTTCTCTCTTTCTTCCTTCCTCCCTTCCTCCCTTCCTCCCTTTCTTTCTTTCTTTCTTTCTTTTTTCTTTCTTTCTTTCTTTCTTTCTTTCTTCCTTTCTTTCTCTCCAGTTTACCCTGTTGTTGTTCTACCTCTCCTTCCTTCTCTACCTCTGGCCCCAGGCAATGAGAGAAGGGGTTGAGATTTAACCATCCATGACAGATGGCAATTGCCAGCCTTGGAAGGTGGTGGTCTGTTTACCTAGGAGCCAAATGTGAGGCCAGAAATGCACACATCCCAGGCCTCAACCTCAGTCTGAAAGATTCAGCCTTCTTGTTGGGAAGCAGAGGGACTCAACTAAGCTCTCAAAGATTCATAACATACTGGCCTGTGTGCCCACAAAGTATTTCTACCTTTAAATAAAATCAGATGTATCAAGGCATGAAAGTGACTCACCCAGCATTTGCAATCTTTGAGGTAGCAATCCTACCAATAAAAAGGGGCCTTTTGGGCTTCCCTGGTGGCGCAGTGGTTGAGAGTCCGCCTGCCGATGCAGCGGACACGGGTTCGTACCCCGGTCCGGGAAGATCCCACATGCCGCCGAGCGGGTGGGCCCTTGAGCCATGGCCGCTGAGCCTGCACGTCCGGAGCCTGTGCTCCGCAACGGGAGAGGCCACAGCAGTGAGAGGCCTGCGTACCACAAAAAAAAAAAAAAAAAAAAAAAAGAGGGGGTCTTTTAATAATTTAATTTAAAAAATGACTACTTTCTGTTTTTGTAGGACCATTAGAACTTCTATTCCACACTTGCTCAGTGACACTTTTTAATTATCCAATGAAATCTTAATAGAAATATTGGTGCAGAGCTTTTTGAATATAAGATGTAACGCATCATCACAAAGGCTAAGAATATGAAATAGCTAAACGACGGTATTAGATGGGGACTGGGGAGTTTGGTAAGTGGTTTGGATGTTTCCTCCATATAGGCAGCACATACTTGCTTTGAGTCAAAGACATGCATGTTTTCCTGGGTCTCGGCTTGCAGGTGAGAGCATCATGGTCTTTCTATATCCACACAGTCTTGCTAGCGCTGGTGGAGAGTGCCCAGGAGGTGGCCAGGGAGTCAGCAGTGTTTCCCAGGATGGTGGAACGTACTCTTTACTATAACAGACCCAAGGGGGAAAAAGGCAAAATAATTTGAAAATATGGTCCCTAGAAGACCTTATAATTTAATTGTAGGAAAAGAACCTAAATTCAGAGAACTTCTCAACAGCAAATGGAAGATTACCAATATATCCGAGCATGGCACGGCACTCAAGGCCTGTCCTATCTGTTCCTGGCTTCCACCAACTACCGCACATCCCGTCTGTGCCTTCCCCACCTTCCTTTACCTGCTCGACTTGTACTCATCCCAGAAGAGTCAACTCTGGCATCAGCTTTTCCAGGAAACCTCTGACACCCCAGAAGATGAGTGCGTGTGTGCTTCCACATGCCTATCTCAACTATCACTCTGATCACATTTTATTAGACAATTTTTCCTAATGGACTGTGACCTCCATGAGGGCAGTGACTAGGATTCACTCATCAGTATAGCTCCAGGACCAAACCCAGTGCAAGTACATACACAGCAATAGAGAGCAAATCAATCCATAAATAACTGCTTAGGGTTTGCAATGATGCGGAAGGACTACATGCAACCAGGGAGAGCTTCTCAGAGGAGCGCTGAGTAACGTTTGAAGGAAGCGGAACTAATTGGATTGGTAGGAAGAAGACCGGGCATATCATTTATGGGAAATGTCAGTAGCTGCACTGTGTGGCTCTCAGAAAGCATTGTACGGGGGATTCATGAGAACGGGATTAATAAAAGAGGAAAGAGCATAGTTGGAGGACTGTGGAAAGCACTTTGCATTCTGGATTTGATGGGCAGACCATATCATTCTTTCCACTACTGTAGTCGAGAGGGTGAGCCAATGCCAGCAGTGCCCTGATCAAATGCTCACCAGAGAATCTCTCTTTGGCTTATTTAAATCCCGCTGGGCTTTCAGTTTAATGCAGCACTTCCTTCATTTCCTATCTGAAATCCTTGTGCATATTTCAGTGGTAGTTGTGGATTATTTCTACATACTACTGTAAACCTATCCCCAGAAATATCCAAGCTAATTCAAGTTTCTTCTTTTTTTTTTTTTTTTAAGGCTGCAAGTTCTTTATCTTCAAGCAACTTTAATCTCACATTTAGCATGATTTGAGCATCATTTCTCATGTGTTTTCAATTGAATGAAAAGCCTTACTTGAGTCCTGCAATCACAGCAGCACCATCAGGAAGAGATGAGCAGGGCTGTTAACCAGAACATGTTGTACCTTTTTAAACATTAACCATTGTTCAGGTCTGTAGCCCTGGATGCTGAAGGCAATGACAGGAATCTGGAATCACACGCAAACAAATCCTACCTATGGAAGACTTTAGAGCTCCCTTAATCCATAGAAGTATTATACTATATATATATATATATTACACATTTTTTAGAGAAGTATAAGTACAACTAAATTAACCTGTCTCTTATCTGAAGATAGCTCTATCTGATCCATGTCATATTGAGAGAGACCAAAGTCATTCCATCTGACCGCATTTGAACTAGGATGACATCATGCCATTAGAACATCTCTATGAAAGAAGTTTCTGTTCTGTGAGGAACTTTGTTTTAGCAAATAGAAAGAACTTGATAATCTTTGCTATTTGCTGGCATAGCTTAGGTGTATGTGGGTTATCATTGATTTTATGTATTTTTCTATAAATGTGAATCATGGGAAGCAGCATTTCTATCGGAGATGGTAGGGCTGCAATCGTCATCATCGTTGTCATTTGGTACTGAGCGCTTACTAGGCCAGGTACAGTGCAAATGACTTTCATACATTAGATCTTAGAACTTCGCAAATGACTTTCATACATTAGATGTATGCATCTAATGTATGCATCATACATTAGATCTTAGAACTTCGCACTTACTTTTATTATGGTACTTCTCAAGGTGAACTAAAATACGTTATATAAGCATCTGTCTCCACTAAATTCTGCTTCCACTGGACCCTCCTGAGTACAGGGCCTGTACCTTACTCATTTTGGTATCCCAGCACGCTGCACAGATTGGGCGCTCAATGAATGTCTGTTATAGAAGTAGAAATAACTTGAAGTAACAAAATCATACCTTTTTTAGAATCTTAAAGAAATATTACGGCCACGCTACTTTGATACAATATTTTTTCTAATAACAAAATCCGGAAACAAACTATATCCCAACTGTATGGGAATAGTTAAACATAAGCAAGGCCTAGTATAACAGACACACTTGATACACTTAGCATAACGGAAACACATTGACTGTGAAACACATTAACTGTGAAAGCGCTGCTATCAGAAATATAAATGGCCTGTGTGTTGGGAAAGCTTTCCTTCTTAGTCTCCTATTAGGCTTTCAGATCGGAAACTTCTCCAGCCTTTCTAAACTTCAGATTGTCTCTGTATTAAGGGTTCTCTTCTTGTTCACCCTGCCTGGCCACCTGCCTTTTATTTTAATTAATTAATTAGTTAGATTTTTTGCATCCTTTTCCCTACCACCCTAAGCCTTCTCAGGTACTTTGTTATTTATTTGCTCCCACAATTCTATCAAAGATATACTGGCATCTTTCGCAGCAAGGTGTCCTGTTAGCAGACGGTTCCTATCTTGCTTTAAACAATCCTTTTTAGTGTCCACTTTGCATAGCTCCTGGGTTCAATTAACCTTCATTGTCCAGCAAGAGAGCTGCTCAGATGATTTTTGGCGGGATAAAATGAGACCCTTCCACTGAATAACAACAAAATAATAATAAATAAATGTATGCTCTCAATTTGCTTGGTTCTGCACAAATCAGAAGAGATTAATTGCACACCTCAGGATTAATGATCAATGAATCAGCAGAATTCCTGATCCTATTAGAAATGCTAATCTCGTGAGAACAGGGAGAACCATTTGTGAAAGGGCTGAGCTGCCCAGACTGTGTCTGTCCCCAGGGTCCTGGCTCTGTGAGAAAGGAAGGAAAAGGGGAGGGGAAAGAATATTTGTTCAGTGCCTACTCTATTCCAGACTTTGGGCAAGGGGCATTCACACACCCAATGTAGTTAATCCCCAAGCCAATCCTTCAAAGCAGGATTACAGTCAGCCTTGGTCCTGATGGAAAACCTAAAAATCAGCGAGATTAAGTAGCTTGACCTGGACCACACAGCCAGGAAGTGGCAAACCTAGAAGTGAGGACTTGAACTCAGGGTTTTATGAGTCCAAAGTCTGCCATGTTGTCATTATAGCAGTTGCCGGGTTTGGTTAGATAGCCTGTAACAATGTTCAGGTTATTAAAGACCAAAAGGCAAGGTACAGGTCACCTCTGCAAGGCTGATTCCTCCTGCTGTCATGGACCCCAGGACTCCCTCCCACACTGTGTCACATATACCTGAAATGAGAAGTCATGTTATCCCGGATGGACTCCGGGAAGTCAAGACCTTAGGTATCAGGTTTATGGCCACAGCCCTAATACTGACTAGCTGATCCTGTGTCATTTGAACAGGGCCTGGCCCCATGAATAGAAAGGGCTTGAGGACCCCTGGAGCCAATCTCTATCCCTAACCAGCTGTATCTTTTCATGGAAATTCCACCATTAAAAAATCATTCCTGAGGACTTGATTTTCGTCTCCAAAATATCCTATCGAAATATACATAGACCTTTAAAAAGGTAACACCTAAAACTCCTTTATTACACAGCATTCTGGTAGGATATAGTTGGGCAAGGCCCATAGGTCAGGTACCTGAGTGATGAAGCAAGCAGATGAGTTCTAGAACAATTTCCCCTTTACTATATCATCCCTTACGTTGGGTTCACTCCTGTCTTTATGTTTCAGTTTTCCTCTTGGGAAATTACCAGTGATAATGAGACACTGGGGACAGGAATTTAAACCAACCAGAAGAGGAAACATGCGTGGACTTAAATGTTTGGTTTTTCAGAACCACAAGCCAAACTAACTTTAACATATATGTTTTTAGTAAACATTTAATTTTAGAATAGTTTTAGATTTATAAAAAGGTTGTGAAGATAGTACAGAGAGCTCCCACATATCTCACACCCAGTTTCCCCTATTGTTAACAGCTTACATCAACACGGAATATTTGTCACAATTAAGGAACGAAAAATAACATGATATTGTTGACTAAAGATGGTACTTTATTCAGATTTCCCTAGTTTTTACCTCATGTCCTTTTCTGTTCCCATCTAGTTGTCACATCTCTTCTGGCTCCTCTAAACTTTCTCAGACTTTCCTTGTTTGTGATGACCTTGACAGTTTGAGGAGTATGGATCAAGTTATGTGTAGAATGTGTTTCAATTTGGCTTTATCTGATGTTTTTCTCATGGTTAGACAGGGGTGATGGGTTTTGGGGAGGACAACCTCAGTGGTAAAGTGCCCTTCTCATCACACCATATCAAGATTATGTTTATCAAATGTTAAATCACTGTTGATTTAATTTTTATTTTTTATTTATTTTTTTGCAGTACGCGGGCCTCTCACTGTTGTGGCCTCTCCCGTTGCGGAGCACAGGCTCTGGACGCGCAGGCTCAGCGGCCATGGCTCACGGGCCCAGCTGCTCCGTGGCACGTGGGATCTTCCCGGACCGGGGCACAAATCCGCGTCCCCTGCATTGGCAGGCGGACTCTCAACCACTGCGCCACCAGGGAAGCCCTAACATTTATTTTTAAAGAAAATAAACCATGTGGCAAGTTAGTCTGAACCAGAGCCAGGCCTGTCCATTTTCTAAAAGGACAGAACTGGCACAAAATCAGATTGTCAAAGTCTCTGGGAACAAACTAACGTTTCATTCAGTCCAAGTCCCGGGTTGTAACATTTTATGCAAGTTCCATTTGCAGAAAACATTTGGAGTTCCTGAGGGAAAAAAATGGCTGTCTTAAATATAGAATGTAGTTAAGATGCCATGTATGAAGAAGTTCACAGAACTGCCAGTGAGCGAGCACTGTCATCACAGAACACCAGCTGTGGAACGCTGCCTGTTGGACCCACAGGCCCCAAGTCCCAGGAAGACAATATTAGCAATGAACCAGATTTTCACATTTCCTGCCTCCCCTGA